CACGACCAACGACACGACCAACGACACGACCAACGACACGACCAACGACACGACCAACGACACGACACGACACGACACGACACGACACCACACCACACCTGTCTGACACGCTTCGGGCTACGACAGGTTGACCTGAAGACGCACCGGGGCTTTCTGGGCGGCCTGGACCGATGGGCGGGCTCCACGGGCGAGACGTCGCCCTACTGGTCGTCGGCCATGGTGGAGGCCATCTTCCACGACATCACCCGCATGCCCACCAAGGAGGGCGACCCCCAGCAGGTCCACAAGGTACTAACTACACTGGTCGTCCGATGGAATTTACACGCATTCCATTGCACGACGCTGACTTGTGGATGATAATCGCGCGCGCTCAGAAACGACATGTGGGCAACGATGCGGTGCACATTGTGTGGACGGAGAACAAGCGCGACTACGACCCCAAGACCATCACGTCGCAGTTCAACGACGTACACATCGTCGTCTACCCCATGCCCAACGGCCTCTATCGGGTCCAGGTCTTCAAGAAGCAGCAGGTACGTCATCACCGCACGCACCGCACACGCACACGCACGCATTTCACACGGCTAATGGTTGGGTGGTGTAGGATTTGAACTTTGGCCCGCTGCAAGACGGGATGATCGTGAACAAGGCCATGCTGGCCCCGCTGGCGCGTCTCACGGCGGTCAACGCGAACCGCGCGGTGCGATCCCTCAAGAAGGAGAACAAGCGACCCTTCCCCTTCCGCGCCGGCCTCATCCGCGAGATGTACGAACGCTACAAGGCCGAACGCTCGTTCGACGACTACTTCAGCACCTTCTTCAAGATCGACGACAACCCCCAGTCCCTCGCCGCTGGTACCTTTCAATCACCACCACCACAGCTTTCTCGTTGGCTCTTGCTTCGCTCTTTCTTACCTTTGCGTGCTTCGTTTCGTTTTTTGTCTTCGCTTTTCGCTTTCGTTTTTGCAGCGACGGCGAAGATGCAGGCCACCTTGGCCGAGGCCCACGCCGGCGAGTCGGCCAACTAAGCCAAATCCAAAGCCAAGCTGCTCAAGGGCCAGGCAGGCAAGCAAAAGTACCATAGAGCAGACAAACTCTCCACCTCCACTTCTCTCTCTGTTCCTCGTCGCTTTATTTACCGGGAGACGTCGGCCAGCGTGGCGGCACAGCCGGCCGAGACCCAAAAATGTTTTGTCGTTGCTCGTTCAACCAAAGAGAGAGTCCACCCCCCCCCCTTGCGACTCACTGTTGGGTTTCCTGTTCGGTCGTCGCCTGCTCGCTCGGGGACGCGTCGGTGGGGGCGGCCGCCTTGCTCTTGTTCTTGTTGCGCTTCTTTCGCTTCTTCTTGGCCTTGGCGGCCTCGCCGCCCTGCCCGCCCTGCTGCTGCGCCTTGTCGGCGTTGAGCCACGACCACAGCACCATCTGCTTGGGCATGCGCGTCGGCTGCTGGCCGTGCACGTGGCCGTGGCCGTGGCTGTGGTCGTGGTGGTGGTCCTCTCCGTCGCCGTGGTCGTGATCGCATTGCTACGTTGTAGCCATAGCGCACGCATGGTGTGTGCGGTGTGCGGTGTGCGTGTGCGGTGTTGTGCAGGATGTGAGCAGTGTGCAAGTCGCACACTGGTGAGGAATGAGAGGCGTACGTGGCCCTGCGAGTAGATGGCGTCCTTCTCGAAGCCGTCCCAGTGGGCCAGGTGGCTGAGCAGCGACTCCCGGCCGTGGATCTCCTCGAACAGCTCGTCACCGTTGGGCGAGTGCGCGATCTGCTCGCCGGCCTGCGAGAGCTCTACATATACACCGTACCATTACCATGAGCCAATCCACCCATCGTCTCAAGCCAGTTGAACTGCTCGTGACCTGAGTGACCCACATCACCGTACCCACACGCCAGTCCGTCCTCTTCTTCTCCCTCTTCCACTTCCTCTTCAACATCATCATCATCATCTTCATCCACTCTCCACTTCATAAACGGAACGCACCGGTGATGTTGAGGTGGCGCTGGAGGTTGTCCCTGAGCCAGCCGTCCTCGTACAGGCGCAGCTGCTGCTGCACCAACTTGCCCTGCTGCTGCTGCGCGGCGCCCTCGCGGGCCATGGCCACCAGCGAGGCCACGTCGACGTAGCAGGCCAGCGAGTAGTAGGGCTCCACGTCGGGCCGACTGGCGGGGTCGGCTGCCACGAGCCGACCAACCTCGCCGTCGCGCGAGGGCGCCGAGGCGCCGTCGAACACGAGCCAGTGGGCGGCCTGGGGCGCCTTGGGCACCTTGGCGGGGGCGGTGTAGGTGTGCACCTTCTTACTGCCGGCCTTCTTGGCCGCGGCGGGGGCGAAGTCGCGTTCGAGGGCGCGCACCATGATGGTCCATGCCTTGCCGTTGGATTCGTCGAGCAGCTTGTCGAAGTAGACGTGAATGGAGAGCTGACCGTAGGCCGCGTGCGATTTGATCGCGGCAATGGCGGCGGCATCCGATTTCTGCAGATTGGAGTCGGATCCCGACGACGCAGAGGCAGAGCCGGTGCCGGTGACGGTCCATCGCGCCTCTTCGATGAGGTGAGACTTGAGCGCGGCCTTGCGTCGCTCATCGACCTTGCCCAGGCCGAATTGGCCAAGGCCCAGGACGCCCTGATGGACGTGCGACAGCGATCGACGCTGGCCGCAGTGGAAAACGAACACGGCACCGTTGGCCACGTCCGACGTAGCCAGTGCCACCTCGGGCCGCGAAGTGCGCGACGTGAAGCCGTGAGGCGTGAACACCACCTGTTGCTCGCTCATCTCTGCTAATTATTGAAAAAGAAAATCCCCAACCAAATCGCAAAGAAACCAATGACTAAATGTCGAGAGGCGAAGATGGACCGCCGATCGGGCCATTGGCGCCCACGCAAGCAGAGATCCAGCTGAAGGCCCTTCTACATCGTCAGCTGGATACGTCTCTGCATGGGTTTGCGCCCCTACTCCAGGCTTGGCAAAGTTAGAACCATCTCCTCATCATATCAATTTTGCATCCACTACGTGGGCAGGGTGGAGGACGCGTTCTTGAGGAGGCGGGTGGACTTTGCAGGCACGACGAACACCCTGGTGGACTCGATGGCCGCGGCGTCAGGCGTGCGCACGAGGCGTGAGTTTGCAGACATCGAGGCCACCCACCAGCGACTGCAGGAGCTGCGCGACCTCGGCCTGCGCACCGAGCAGATCTGGTACGTACCCGATGTGCGAGGGCGGAGGCTGAGGGCGGAGGGCGGAGGGCGGAGGCGAAATGCGGAGGGCGGAGGCGGTGGGCGGTACGTTTGCTCATCGCATGCGACTTCTTGTGTCCCGGCTGTGCAGCCAGCGACTCGAACAGGAAGGCTACTCGCTCACCGAAGACCTGCAGCGCAAGGTGCTGGTCCATTCTTAGCCGCGGCGCTCTTTGCGTGGCTCTACGCGCTCACAGGTTCGGACGACAACAGCGCAAGAAACGCAAGCTGGTCCACCCCGACCACCTAAAGACGGAATCGGAGGACGTCGAACGGTGCCTGCGCGAGCGCGCCGCCGCCGCGGCACGCAATGTGACCAGTGCGCCCAGGGACCTGCCGCAGCTGAGTCGCCACGAGCGCGAGATCGAGCGCACGCTTCTTCACGGCAAGCGCGCAGACTCGCTCGGCAGGTGGCTCGTCAGCGGTACGTCTCCAGGCCAGTGATACCCGCCGCAGACTCTCAACTGCGTGTGCGGTGGTGAGTGTGCGTGTGTACAGAAAGCAGTATCCCTGGTCGTGCGGAAGAAGACCAAGCGCAACAGCTCACGGCAGGCCATCGTGTGGCTTCATCAGCTGTACAGGCCCCAACCAGCGACGATGATGCAATCAAATACGAGAGTGAACACGAGGAAGAACGACTGCCAGCACCACGCGAAGAAGGACCGAGTAAAAAGAAGAAGCGGCGAAAGATTGCAACGACGTCGACGGAGACGTTCAATTCCAGCCGGGGCCTGGGCGACAAAGACGAAGAGGGTGGCGCGGCCGCCAAGCAAGCGATCGTTCCCTTCGACCGATCGTTCATCGAAGCCCACCGCCTGGCCCTGAGCGAGATTCGCCAATTGCCCCGATTCGCCGCCTACGAAGCTGGATCTCCTTCCAGGGTACGCACGCATTCGCGTTCACACAACCGTCACGCGCGCCCACACGCGAGCTGCTCAACACTGGACTGAGCGAGCACTTTTGGGTGCTGCTGTACTACAGACCCTGTACATCAAGAACCTGGCCGAGACGACCACCAAGGAGGACCTGGTTCGCATCTTTCTCAGCTTTCAGAAGCCCGCCGAGGAGCTGCGCCAAGACCGAGACTATCTCGAGTTCAGGCTCTTGCAGGTTCCCTTGCCCCAGCCACCACCCTCCCCACTCTATCCAGCTTCTGCGCAGTTGCTGCGAGCCAACGACCACATTCGTCGTGCGCGCCAAGCAGGGCCGGATGCGCGGGCAGGCCTTCGTCACGTTCCCCAGCGTCGAGGACGCTGTTGCCGCGCTGGCCGCGGTGAATGGGTTCGTGTTCAAGGAGGGCAAGCCGCTCATCATCCACTACGGCAAGGGAGAGAACAAGAGAGGTAACGACCAAAGTGGCGGAGACCACAGCGAGGAATGAGACCACCACAAGGATGGCGAGATGACGAGACTTCATCAAGGTCGAGCTCATTCCGCCAGCAATCGGCGTGTTGGTGATGCCAACCAAGCCCGCCGGTCAAGGCCTCCAGCATGCTGGTCGTGGGATCCCTGCTTTCCCTTTAGCGTGCTCACCCGCAACGGTCGGTCGCGACCGCGTTGCCTGTGCGCCTGGGTGGCCAACCAACCGGACTTTGATGCAAGAAAGAAGCAGCCCCAACTACCCGACCAACAGGACTTGAGCTCTTCCCGTCCCCCCGCACTTACGCAACCTTCTTCACTTTTGTCGAAATCCCCTTTGCATCACCCACTCATTAATGAAACAATGGTCGACAGGATTGAACAGTGGTCGACAAGGTGGGCACAACCTTTTACGCCAGCGACAAACCAACTTTTTCGTTTCACAACCAACACACAAGTGCCACCTTCTTCACGCCCGCTAACACGAAAGCCTCTCGACCGCCACACGCCTGACCCGGTCCCGCCACCAGAAGCAAGGCAAACACAACAAAGAGAAAAGAGAAAGAGCAAAAGACAACAGCCAGCAGCCTTCGTCGCCCAACACTGCGTCCGACCACCACAACACCAAGACCACCACTTACACACATCATGCTTCACGCTTCGTCGGCGGCGACACCTCAGCGCAGCTTCGAGTTGGTGGTGGGAGCGAGCGACCTTGCCGTGGTGCAGCTCCCCAGCTCGTCGACTGTGCCCCAGTGGGCACTCTCAGGCGACAAGTCCTTCCTTTCCATGACCTACACCAAGGAGGAGCTCTCCCTCGTCGTCAACCAGGCCTCCATCCCCAAGGACTTCAGGTGCACCCACCCTTCATCTTTCATCTTACCTATTTAGATCAATTTTTTTAATTCAAATTAAAAAATAAAATAAATTTATAAATAATAAAAACAACGTGTTAAAAATGGAAACATTGACAATGCCCCTTTATTTATTTTATTTTGATTTTGTTTGCTCACTTTTGTGTCGACGTGACGATGACAGTGAGGGCAAGGTGGAGGGCGGCTGGCGAGCATTGAAGGTGGCCGGTCCGTTGGACTTTGAGCTGGTGGGCATCCTGGCGTCGCTGGCAGTGCCGCTGGCCCGAAGCGGGGTGAGCATCTTTGCGGTGTCCACCTACAACACGGACTACGTGCTGGTCAAGGCGAGCCTGCTCGACCGCGCCGCTCGGACCCTAAGAGAGCACGGGCACGAGATCACCTACGAGGGCGAGAAGCCTGACCAGCCGCACTGGTGAGCTGTGAGTGTACAATCGGTCGTGGGAGGGTCTGCACACATGTACAAATGTGAACTCGAGGAATACAAAGCGTAATGACAATCATCATGCATGGCTCTCGCACTCTCGCCCGTCAGGTGCTCGCCACGTTGTTCAACATGACACGTTCAGCTGGACGGCAACAGAGCTAGCATGGCCAGACACGCCCCGGGCGTTGAAGGCAATTTCAAGAGTTTGCTGCGGAAACAGTTGTGTCGGCCCAATACGCCAGCACCGCCAGAACGCAACACACTCCAACGGCAGCGCTCATCTGGCCTAAACAATTCATCCGTGAGTAGTACACTGATCAACCGCAACAAAACAAGTAATGAGACGGTGGGCTTTGGCAGCATCTAGAACGGGCTTTGGTGGTAGCGGAATTGGTGGTGCTGGATCTGCGCGTAACTGGTTGGCTTCATCCACACTCCCTCAAGCTTTCCGGTAGCTCCCCCCCTCCCGAGGAAACATCTGCCGCTCAATAATCCTTTCATTACTAGATTAGATTAAATTAATTCTTTAAAATATTGGCAGATGGAGCGTGCTTAGGGGCGTGCACACGCAAAGCGCCGGTGTGGGGCGCGGGCTGGTGGGTAGGGTGCGACCCAGGCGCAACCTGAGCACCCAGGCGCCAAAGGAGGAGCCCAACCCTTCCACTCTGCCCCCGCCTGCCGAGGAGCCCATCACGCATACCGTCGAGTCGCTCACAGAGTCCTACTACGCCTTCCAGGACTCCGTCCTTAACATCCAGGTGTCCACTCTTCTGGTGTTGCGCGCGTGCTCGTGAGCGTGAGCGGCAGCATAACGCTGGTCGTTGTCTAACTTGGCGAGCTGTGTGCTGCACCGGTGGTTAGATTATGGGGAACAGTGTGCCTCGATTCTGGGTGGGCCTAGTGGCGTTCGGGCTGTTCGGTCTGGGCAAGGACCTCCTGTCCCTGGGCGTCGCTGACCAAATCGAGCACAGGTGCGCACGCCCGTCGTGTCCTTGGCCGCATTTTGCCTTCACCAATTGAACTCTCCACTACTACTACTACGCAGGCCCGACTTGACAACGGAGCAGAAGCTTCAGCTGTCAGCTCTTGCCGGCGACAAAGAAGACTTTGTCCTGACGCAGCTCCGTACGACCCCCATCGCCGCCGCTTTGCTCCAACCGCAAGACTTACCCGTTTTCTTGTTGTTTTTGTTGTTGTTCTTCTCTCGTCACGCAGCGACGGCCGTCTCGATGAGCGATCCGTTCACGCTGCTCACCCTGCCCCTGCTTTCGTCGCTGTTTGCGGCCAGCGTGGGCATTTGGTGGGGCCGATTCCGAATCAAGAAGCTCTTCGACAAGTTCGTCTTCATGGAGACTAAGAAGGGACACGTGGCCCCGCCGGAGGTGATCGACGGCGCGCGCAAGGGCATCATCACCCGCGGCTCCACCGCTACGGCCGTGGGCACCATGGCCCTCACCACCACCTATATCTCCTTCTATGCCATCATCACCAGAGTATGGTACGGTGTGTGTCGCGTGTCGCGTTGTGTCGTGTGTCGCGTTGTGTCGCGTGTCGTGTTATGATGTTGAATTTTTATCGATGCAGGTTCCGAGATTACGTCGAACAGATGAATGAGTGGAAGTGGACCGTGCCTGCGGGCAAGGAGGGCGAGCTGCAGCGCAAGCTGCCGTCGGACCTCGAGCTGAAGGCCTTCAGCGCGGCCTCGTTCGTCTATTTCGTGTTCATCCAGCTGCTCGTCCTCAAGTTCACGCCCTTCGTCATCCTGCCGTCGCTCACCGCGCTCTTCCCGCTCACGGCCGTGCTCGCCCAGTCGCCCGTCTTCCTCCGTATGCAGGACAAGACCAAGGGCAAGCTCGAGACCCTCGAGGCCAAGGGCGTCTTCGGCACGCTCCCCTCCGGCGAGGGCAAGGAGCTGGACTTTGACGGCGAGGGCGCCGACGAGGGCGCCTACGGCCTGCACAGCGCCGACCACGACGACGACGACCTCGGCTCTAGGCCCGCCGCCGGCGACGGCTCTTTGTCGACGAAGCCCAACAACGTGTTCGACAAGACCGCGGGCGCGACGCGTGTGCGTGCGATCGTGTCGAGGCGGAAGCGGGAGCAGAGCGCCGACGGAGCCGCGGGCGGCGGTGACGAGGAGCACGGCAAGGAGAATCAGTGGGGCGACGTGGTGCTCGAGGACGAACAGAACCAGCAGCAGTAGCGGTGACCATCATCATGTTTCCCCAACATCCAGCGCCTTGCGGGTCTGTGCCCGTATTGGAAGTTCGAACGAACACGCGCCTGTCCAAGGCTCGGCTCACAACAAGATGGGGGGGCAATGTTGGTGGGATCATTGAACACTGCTGTGCGGCAGAGAGGTTCTTTTCATACGCCTTCTTCGAATAGGGAAAAGGCATCCGCGTATTCCCTACCTGACCGCTACGCGAACAAGGAGAGTGTAGAAGCACAGTGGCCTAGCTTTACAGCTTTGAATCGTGCTCCGCCACAGAGGCCTCTTGCATCTTAAATCCACCATTTTCCTTTTGTTTTTGGCGCTTGTTTTTTTGTTTTATTTGTCTTGGTAGAGATGGAGTCCACGAGGAGCATTGACATGGTCGAGTCCCTCATCATCGAGGACTTGGAGTACATCGCACAACAGTTCGAGTCCACGTTCACCGAATGCATTGCCAACGTCAAGAAACCGAACGTCTTGGGTACCCTCTACCCTGCAAGATTTTGATTATCAAATTTTAATCACAGCTTTAAATCTTGGCCACGCGTGGCGGCAGTGTCGGGTGTAACGGGGGCGGGCAAGTCGTCTCTGGTCAATGCCATCTTCGGTGAGGGCATGGCCAAGGTGCCCTCCACCCTCTCTTCGCCGTGCTCTCCTTCACTCACTCACACACACAACGCTACACAGGTAGGCGTGGGTAAGCCGCTGACGCAACACTTCTCGCGGTACGCGCCAGACGACATGCCCGTGGTGGTCTACGACTCCAAGGGACTCGAGCAGGGCTTCCACGAGGAGTTCGTAGCAGGTGTGTGCGTGACACTTGCCTCTATGGTCGGCGCGCTGTGGTTGTGTGTGTGTGTCGTGATGCGCGTGCGATCACTAGGTGTTTGGCACCTGACACTGACCTCGCTGTATACAGATGCCAAGGAGTTTTTGGAAAAGATCAAATCGCAGCCCGAGGTCCTCCTCCCGTCCCTCGCTGCACACTTGTGGTGGCGGTTCATTGAACGGTCCCTCACAGTTCTCACAATGTGTTTCCCCCATGTTAATATCGTTCGCGCAACAGCTGGGCGATCACATTCACATCATTTGGTATGTCATCAATGCTGGATCGGGTACTTGTCCCTTCTTTGCTTGCGGAGACTAGCTTGAAAATCTGAAACTCATCATTCCTCGTATGCATGCGTACAGCACGCATCGAGCCGTTCGAGGCCTTCCTCATCAAGGAGATCTTCGCTCCCGTCCCGACCTTGTTTATATTAAATAAGGTAGCGCACCACTTCACCTTCTCTTCTGCGAATGAATGGTCCTTCGCGTGTATGCTGATGCAATGGGTGTATTGGACTGGTGTGTGTGTGTGTGTGTGTGTGTGTGTGTGTGTGTGTGCGTGCGTGCGTGTGCAGGCCGACATCGCCTCGGCAGAGCAGCTGAACGAATTGGAGGAGAGCATCAAGCAGTACGAGTTCACCAACTGCCGCGGCATCTTCCGGGTCGTTGCTGGTAATCTAATCTCCCATCACCAACCCCGCCGCGACCGCTCATGTTTGACGATGTCGCATTGCGCATTGTGTGCGGTGTGTGCATGTCTGCCGTAGACAGGAAGATCTATCCACAGAACTGGTGCGTGTCGTGTGCGGGCGACGACGTGATGTACAAAAAGTCGACAAACCAACTCTTCTGCGAGGACTGCGGCGCCGTCACCGTCATGACACCCACGGTGGCTTCCACCCCCTCCTTCTTGTATCAATGCACCGTTTTTCTTTGGCTGACTGGTCGGTCATCACCGTGGCCGCCGCTGGGGGGGGGCGCAGCTCGGGCTGGAGAAAGTGGTGGACGAGACCTCGCGGATCCTGCCCGACTTGGCCAAGGAAGCGTTCCTCTCGGCCCAGGAGGTCTCATTCGCGATCAAGGTGGGCCAAGCCACAGCCTCCGCCCAACCACGTCTTCGCTGCACACGATCTCGTGGTTTACAGAGTGTCATGTGTCGTGCGTGTTAAAACACAGGACTCGCGAGCGAAGGCGATTGTCAAGGAGTACGCCAACAAGATCTCGATGGACGTGGCCGGCAAGGCCCTCAGCTCGGTGGGCGAGATGGTGGGCAAAGTGTTCGTGCTCTGGGGCTGGAAGTACTTGGGCGAGAAGGTGTCTGCCACCCTCGAGAAGGAAATGAGCGCCGAGTTCAGGAGTCAGGTACCCCTCCCGCGTGTAGCGCGTGTCGTGTTGTGCGCACTCAATCACACGCGCGCGTTTGAAACTTTTCAGTCTTTGTGTTGATTTGTTAACGGTCGTTATTTTTGCTGCCACAGGAGCTGACGTCGCGGCTGGCCATGGTGGCTGCTGACACAATCTCCAAGCGCAAGCTGTCTCGCTCTGTCATTGCCTGCCTTGGCCTCATGGTACGTACCGTGGCCACATCATCTTCCCTCTCTGGCTGGACCTGCCTGACGTGCGTGTGCGTTCCCTGTACCGCGTCTTAGGTCAATCGTCCCCTGCGAAAGCTATCCAAGCAGCTGCTTTCGGTGGTGGAGGCCCACGACTCGGTCAAGTTCGAGGAACTCGAGTTCTCGCCGAGTACGTCCCCCCACTTCCTCCCAGACACTCGCATACCTCCAACGCGCGCCTTTGCACTCACCACTCCGCACGTCTGGACCACAGCCAAGTCCGCGTCGTTCCCCGATAAGTTCGTGCAGTACGCCCTGGCTCACGGCATCGACGCCGCCATCGACAACTTCTGGGGCTGAGGCGCCACCATCTTGTACCCCAGCTCCTCTCGCTTTGCCCTCTCGCGTCGCCTCTCTCTTTCTTTCCCCCTTCCTCGTGCTTTGTACAGAGCCAACACGTCTCAACAGCTTTGTCGCGGTCCAACAGTTAAGAGGCCTGCTGACGTCATTTATAAAATCAATTCAAAAGAAAAAGGTCAGGAGGGAGATTGGACTGCAAGCGCTCGCAGGGAGGAGTATGCAAGATTATTATCTCACGACCGATGCACAGCGTGACGTGCAAATTCTTCAATTCGCCTCGCGGCTGCCAGCGCGGGGGCGAATGCCCATACATCCATCGAAACCCCATGCAGCGCACAGCACCGCCTGAGCACCACCTGCAACCAGGGCGCCAAGATGCAAATGGAGCCGTGTGTCAGATGGCGTACCCCGATGGGCGGGTGCTCAAGAAGGTGCAGGCCAGCAGAGGGGTTGATCATCATCGCGCGACGGGGAGGAGCGACGTAGGGGGCGAACGTGACCAATCCGAGCATCACCAAGCACCAAGGAGAAAGAAAAAGTCCACCTCGAAACCGGTGGACAAGTGGGTGGCGAAGAAGCCCATGCCAAGCCTGCCCAACGAAATGTGGGACAAAATCTTATCGCACTGCGATCCGTCGTCGTTGGCGGCGGTGTGCGGCGTGTGCAAATCGATGCGCCGATCGGCTTTGCCCCATCGCACGGCCTTTCGCATCGACGCCGCCAAGCTGGACCAAGGTATACGCGCCGGCGCCTGGTCATCCTTTTTACATTCAGCTTCACACGCGGCGGCTCTAGCAGCTATCATTGAGCTCGTGGCCTCAGCACAAACCAAGCTCTGCGCTAACATGTTGCGGCAGGCAAATACTGGACACGTTGATGCACATTCGGGTCAACTTCCCGCACCTGACCTCGGTCTCGCTGGTGAATGGCAACCTGCGTGGCTTCACGTTCTACGCATCGGACGAGCACTCGAGGTTCACCCTCTTCCCCGAGAACCTTCGCCACTTGTCCATGGAGAACAGTGAGGGGCTTGATGATGACCAAGGTACTCTCTCCCACCAATTCAGTGATCTGGCTTGCGTTACATGTAACGTTGTTGCAGCCCGGACCCTCAAGTGCTGACCCGCTTGTGGTGGGTGTGCCTGTACAGTGAAAGCACTATGCGCGGAGCTGCCACGACTGCGACACATGGATCTGTCCAAGTGTTTCGAGCTCAGCAATCAGATCCTGCGCTACCTCCCTACAACACTCACCATTCTCAACCTGTGCGGGGTTCTGTATTTCCAACCTTTGGCGATTGGCTCGAAACGATACGCTGGTCTTTGGCTGACAGCTTGCCTTCTTCGACCACCTAGGTGCACGACATCAACGCCAACGCTCTCCGATTATTGCCACATCTTAAGAACTTGGGTACGTGAAGGCTGTGCAACGTAACGCCCCATCATGCGCAGTGCCCTGCGAACACGCCCCCTTATCGGTCCCTCACCGTTCGTTTGCCCTTTGCGTGCAGAAATACTCGACCTCAAGGCCTGCTGGCGTTTGGGGAGCCTCTACAGCCAGCAGAACCCGTTCACGTCATCGGGTCCCTACTATTCCTACTTTCCTTCGTCGCCTTCGATCGCCACCTACTCGGCCTTCGCCTATCTCCAGTCCCTTCCGCGCCTCCACACGCTCTCGCTCTCCCGAATATACTGCCTCGCCGACAACGACATCGCCGTGCTGCCACGGCGCCTCAAGGTGTTGGACGTGTCCTTCTGCTTCCACATCTCAGACTACGTGTACCCAATGCTGCCTGCCGGACTCACCGAGCTCTACTGCCAAGGCTGCGACCTCATCACCTTCGACACCTGGGACTCGGCCAGCGAGGACGGCCTGACAGTACTCAGGGGCGAAGAGGGGAGCACGAGCAGCAGCAGCAGTGCGGAAGGCGAAGGCGAAGGGCACTCGCTGGAGGACGCGAAAGCGCACGCGAGGCCAGAAGTGGCGTGGATCGGGCGCACCAGAAGCAGAGACGGCGCGGCGAGGACCAAGCGACCCAAGCTGCGAATCGTGCGTGGCGAGTGGAGTCTCCCCGAACGCTGCTGCGTGCCCTGACCACCACTGCTCGCGGCGGCTTCTGCTTGTGCCAAAAACTGCGAGTGGTGCAAAAGGCAAGAAATTGTGAGAGCGTATTTTTTCTCGCAACATTTCGTTGTTTCTCTTTGTTTCTGCATCTCCTCGGCGGGACATCTACCTACGGCAACAAACGTTCTACATCTCGCAGCGACCTTGAACAAAAGAGGAGCGGCTCTATATCCCTCTCTTTCTTTGCTCTTCTCGACGAGGTGAAGATGAGTAGAAGATTGTCGTTCTCTCCAGGGCTCGATTCCCAAGATTCAGCTGACGTGTTTGATGGTCCTACGCCAGAGCATGAACTTGTACACAACTTCTCCCTCCTCAGCAGTGCCCAGGAGATTGCGGAAGATCCTTAACATGGTTCTTCGCAGGCGCTGCACGTCGCAATACGGGAGAAAAATCTCTTTCAAGTGATTAGCCTGCTCGAGAAGGAGGAAATCAACGTCAGCTGGCCCAACCCGCAGGACGGAAACGTATATCTGGCTCCCTCCTCAATGAACAGAACCAGTGCAACAGCTTATTCTGTGTTTCTTTTCTCCTGCCTCTAGCGCACGGCACTGCACCTGGCCGTGGCGGCCTCTGACTCCACCATGGTTGCCCTGCTACTTGGCCGAGGTGCTGAGGTAACCGGCCCCTTCCCTAGCGCTCACCAGTTGTGGTCTCACCTGTTTTATTCATGACCTGGTCGTATAGGTGCACCTGAGGGACGACAACGGGCAGACGCCGATGAACATAATCCTGGACAAGGGAGACAACCAGATCCTCAAGCTCGTAGGCTGCAAGGCGATATCGTCGCTCGAAGAGTCCAAGGTACAGCATTACCGTCTCTTTTAGAACGTGGAGAAGTACTAGTCTGACTTGTGCTCGCTCATGTCGGTAACCTCAAACAGTCGCAGCTAGATATCCTGTCAGCTCCGGTTAACCAAAAGCTGTCGGCTCGGCTGCTCGAGAAGGTCATAGAACGACGGGAGAGAACGCTCTCGGCTCCTTCCTCGCCGCTGCCCAGAGACAAGAGAACGGGGGACGTACCCAGGAATCGGTCTGCCTCACGATTGCCCAAGGCCATTGAACCAAGCGAGATCCCGGTTTGTTGTCTGTTGTCTGATTTGCCTGTGCACAGCGGTGAGCTCATCAATCGTATCGATGGCCAGGTGGTCGAGGATTTCAGCGCCGACTTGGCAGCAGAGTGCATAGAGCAGAAGCTCAACGCGATGCTGGAGAACAACCCCAAGCAGCTGAGCAAATACCAAACACACTTCGCTCGCATTTCGGCCATGAGCGAGCTTCTCAAGATATCCCACTTCAAAACGGGTGCGTTTCGGTCATGCTTCACGATAAAGAGTGCGAAGGCCTAATTGCTGATAATGTTTATGCGCTCTACATGTGCGCAGTGAAAAACATCTGGATATCGGTGCTCCTCATTGCCATTGCGAACACCCTCCTCTACAACTATTTCGAGAGTGGAGTCATCCTTGGTGCGTTCCCCATCTCTCATGCGGCTCGCCACTTCGTTCAGCATTTGGGCTCACGACTTCGTTCTTTCACTAGACTTCTCTCTGTTCTTCTGGTCGTTCGGGCAGATGGACCACGCTGTGGTGCTGTGGGGCGTGATGTTTCTCTACTCTTTCAGCGCGCCCTTCCTCCAGAAGGCCATAGTGAACCAACATCTCTCCGTGCGGATCGCATATCTCTGTTACATACTTCTCTCGGCGGCCCTGTTCGCATACGTGCCACAGCACATCCGCGCCTTCAACTTCCCGCCAGCTACTAGCTTCTTCGTCATGTGCGAGACCATGCGGCTGTGGATGAAGATGCACTCCTACCTCATGGTGAATCGGTCCGTACCTTGTAATGGTTTTTGCAGCTAACCAGTCTTGCTAATGTACTATGGTCTCGATCGGCAGATCCTTGCGGCGGGACAAGGCGGCCGGCTCGACGGACCCCAATGTACAGGTCTACCCGCGCAATGTGACGTACTCGGGGTACTTCTATTTCTTGTGGGTGCCCACCCTGGTCTACCAAATCAGCTACCCGCGCAACAAGACCGTCCGATGGGGGTAAGTCTCTCCCGCCTCCTTCCTGGGCGCCGGCTCTACACTTTTCGCTGACTCATGTTCGGACAACGTTCGTCAGATTCGTGTTTGCGACCTTCTTCGAGGCCATTATGACCGTGCTCTACACCTACGCGATCTTTGCGCGGTACTGCATGCCCTATTTCCAGGAGATGGACGGTGATTACAAGTCCCTCGTCCTCGGTATCTTCAAGGTCATGATGCCTGGCACGGTACGTACTATTGCTCGATTCTTGGTGGAATGTGCGCTGTGGCCACGCTAAGCGTTTTGCTCATCTCCTCAAACAATCGTTAGGCCGTGGCGTTGATGGCGTTCTACGGTCTTCTGCATTCGTGGTTCAACGCTTGGGCGGAGGTTACCCGCTTTGCAGACCGACAGGTGAACACCTATCTCTATTCACAAGCCCCAAGCATCGGGGCGGAAAGTAGTAACCTCCTTCAACGTGCAGTTCTACACGGATTGGTGGAATGCCACCGGCTGGTCGCAGTACTATAGGAAGTGGAACTCGGTGGTCCACAACTTCTTGCACCGCCACATCTTCCTTGAGTGCAAGGAGACGCTGCACTTGTCCACCAACGGAGCCATGTGGGCTACCTTCCTCCTTTCTGCGATTGCGCATGAGGTACGCCCAGTCTCATACGCCTGTGGTCTCGACCGCACTAACCATTATGCTTGAACCCTGCCCAATCCTCAATCGCTACCACAGTATATCATCGCTTGCGCGCTGGGATTCTGGAAACCTGTGCTCCTGCTCATGTTCTCGGTGCCCGGTGGTACATTACACTTCCTCACACGTATGCCCTCTGATGTGATTGCGACAAACACTGACTGTCTTTCTTTCTTTCTTTCTTCCAGTCCTGTTCGTGTACTTGACATCGTCCTTCCGCGGCTGGAACGGCTGGAACGTGTTTATGTGGTACGACCAGTTGGCGCGTCCCAAGTCGAGCAGTGGAAGTGCCTCTTTGGTCTCACACTGGATATCGCCTGTAGGTGTATGCTGATCGTTGGACATGGCATGCTCGTGGGCCTCTACCGACGCGCCTGGCACTACCACGTCGAGATGGGTGCAAGCATGCCTTGGTACTTGCCTGGCAAACAACTACACTGGCCAATCACTAGGAATTGACTCACCAAGTGCGTCTGTGGCGTGTGTCGTGCTGGTCTATCTTGTTCCTCAGGTGGGATGCCTTGTGGATTGCATAGGAGAGGCGCCAAGCTTGAGCCTCTGCAGTCTCCAGGAATGCTGGCTCAACTTCCGCCCGCCACGCAACCGCGCACCTTACACACAATCCTCTCCTCTTTGCCCTGTGTACACTTATGGAGCGTGGTGGTCACTAGAATGGCAGCCGCATGGCCTTCGAATTTTCTCAGCGATTGCGCCACTTGCGCCAGTTCGTCTCATCCCGCGTGGTCCTGCTCATACGCTGCGGTCACCCACTCTTGGAGCTTATTTGCGTACCACCAGAACAGGTGTTCGGTCAGCAGCTCCGTTTAGGAATGTTCTGCCAGCAAAAGGTAATTCTCTCAGCCCCGCTTTGGTTCGTGTTTTGTCTTTGCAATAGCGACAACCTCGCGACTTTGCAACCTGATCCCAGGACACAGCAGAAGGTTTTGTCCGTTCACGGGCGTTAGGCATCCAACTCGCTGGAGAGACTTGACCCACTCCTCACTTCTGGCCATAGAAGGGAAGATCGTGGCTGACTTCTCTTCCTTCCTCCTTCTTTCTCTTTTACTCAGCCACACGTCAGCCCAATCTCTCTCCACTTCCTCTCTGGGAAGAGATGAACAACAACGCCTCGGTCGAGGTGCCCAACCACTTCAATAACGCCAGCGGCGGTGGCGGCGATGGTGCCCCCAACAAGAGCCCGATCCTTCGTCACCGCGAATCCTCCTCGTCGGCAGCCTCATCTTCATCATCTTCCCAGAAGCCACAGTACCGATGGGAGAAGTGGACCTTCTGCAACTCGCCGCCATCGCCGCGTCAGACGTTCTCGCTGGGACGCCCAAGCGGTGACGGCGGCCGCAGCTCGTCGTTCTCCAACGCGCACGGCTCGATGCTCTACTCGGACTCGGGGTGGATCATGGAACACCCTATCCCCTACTCGGAGACCGACAACAAGGGCGGGTTCGGCCTGTTGCCCCCCTCCGGCCTCTCGCTCTCGGCGGGCGCACTCACCCACACCCCGGGTCCCTACGGCCCGTGCAGCTGTGGGTCGGCATTCTGTTCGTGCTTCTCCTCGTTCTCCACCTCGCCGCGCTCCTCATCTCCGCGCTCGACGCCCTTGTCGTCTCCGCGGCCCGCGAGCTCCACCACCGGCAGCACGCAACCTCCAAAGCTGCAGCAGCCGCAGCAATGGATCATCAAACCACCCATCAACTCGTCATCGTCGTCGTCGTCGTCAGGAGCATCGACGCCGGTGGCGAGCACGCCTCGGAACCGACGCAGCCTCAAGGTGTCCAAAGAGGAGCGCGTGCTGCGGCGCAGTTCGAGTGCGCCCGAACGTGATTCGCTGTATGCGAGCGAGAACTGCCCCTTCACCCCCGCCACCAAAGCCACCCACCCGCGGAGCAGCACCCTCGTCCACAGCAGCAACAGCTGGAAGAGCGCAACCGACCTGCTCGGCCGACAGAAGAAGACCGCTCCACCGGTGGAGAGTGCAGGTAAGGAGTTGGCGGGCCTCTTCTTGACCACACACATACGCGCGTCAACTCACTAATTTCGCGTCACCAGGGACGCGGGAGACGCAGCAGGACGGGCATTCGATTACTGTACCGGCAGCTGCGGCGACGAGCCAATCACCACGCTCATCACCGGGCATTGGCAAGGTTAGTGCCACCAACGATGCACTTGTCACACTGTCCTTCTTAGCTCTTGTGTGTGTGTGTGTGTGTGTGTGTGTGTTCGGGGTGACCAGTTCCTGGTGGTGTACCGGGACAAGATATGGCTCCTGTTTCCTATCCTGCCCGAGTGGCTCACGCAGTCAAACCTGGACTCTGTGTTTGCGCCCTCGGAGCCGGTGGTGCCCACTGAGATGTCACTCTGCCTCCACGTTGCCGCTGCTCTTGGTGCGCTCACGGCAAACAATGAACAATACCACTGCTCTGCTTTCAATCCCTCACTGACGGCTCGCTTCATCACCGTTGCAGGCGCTCGCACATCGGGAGACATGAAAACGGCCGAACAGCTGCTTGCCAGAGCGTTGCGCATGGCTGAGTTCCTGCTCGAGCGACAGCAAACCAAGCCCGCGCATCAGCTGTACTGGCTTGCGCTAGGCCTGTTCGGACTCTCGTTCTACGTGCTTGACCCTCTGAACATGCAAGTCTCCTCAAAATATCTCCTCATGGCAATGAAGGTACGCGGTGTGTTTGCGCTGTACGTTTTGTGTGTCCTGTCGCCTGACTTTTTTGGTGCTTGTTCTCGCGCAGCTGTGCGAGAAGATCGAGGCGAGGCGATCGGTGGTGTACATCAAATGCATATGTCTGCTGGTCAGTCACGGGACGCCAGAACTGGAGGAGACCCTGCGCAACCAGATCATGCTAACTCTGCGCGCGATCATGGATCTGCCCTTGGAGCACACCTTCCCCTTCAGCACCACTCACATCTCGGACGAAATGGTTAAGGCGCTGCGCTTCCTATTGAAGGTGCCCATCCCTCCTCTCTTGGTGCTCCTCGCGTGTATACGTGGCTCACTCCATCGCACCTGGATCGTGTCGTGTTGCGTGTCATGTGGTGGCCATCTCAGACGGAGAGCCTGTGGGCGTTTATCATCGACGGGCCACCACAAGACGACACCTACCAGGGGGATGCCTTCTATCTGCAGGCGGTGAAGAGACTGGACGAGGTCGAGGAAGAGCTCAAAGAGTTTGAGGAGCTTCTCATCTGCCTCGCCGATGGCAGAAGCGACACAAACAACAACAACGTCACCACCAACACCACCAACGACGCGCTGACGTCATCATCGCCATCGTTGTCGATGCCATCGCTGTGGTCGCGCCCACTCTACTTTGACCCGTCGATCACGGCCTTCATCCTCTTCACCACCAAGACCCTCAAGGCCGAGTGCCACCGCGAGCTCGGGAACATCAACATGGCCGTGGAGTGGGCCATCAACGCGTTCGAGGTGGCCCGGAACGACCTCGAATACTTCCAGCCCACGTCCCTCTGCACCCTCGACTCCCTCTTCCACATCTTCATGCAGTCCGACCGACGATACGCGCACGCGCTGATCGAGGTCATCGGGGTGCTCGAGCAGCGCCACGTCGCTGCGTCGTTCATTCGCCACAAGTACGACACCGTGCTCGAGCGCGAAGAGGACGAAGAGGCCCGAAGGCTTCAGTCACAGCAGCAGCAGCAAGCCTATGCCGGCTACCCGCTGCGAGAGCTGGCTCAACCGGTCGTGTCCACCTGCTTGGTTCTGTCTTCGTCGTCCGCCGAATCGATGCCGCAGACCACCACCTTCTTCCCCTCGGGCTCTCCACTTCAGCAGCATCCACAGCCGAATGTGGCCGCTGCGCAACAGCCGCCTCCGCTGACACAGACGATACCGGGGTTGAGCCAGCTCTCGCAGTCATCTACGTCGGTGGCCGGCGGTCAACACCACTTCGCGGCCCCGCGTCAGGTGTCGCCGCGCACCAAGGCCCGCAACCGTCGATCGGCACCGCGGCAAGGCGCCGGGTCTACGCAGGCCGGCTCGCCGCAGCTGCCGCGGCAAGCCTCCGCCTCGGCCATTCTCACCAGGGGTGGCACCCCCACCGGTACCTTCCGCGGGATCTACCTCTCGCAGGGCTACACCCTCATCAACGCCTCCTCATCTCCACCCTCAACACAACCGTTGGCGGAACGGAAGCTGACGGCGCCCGGCGGCCACCAGAAGGCCGTGCCGCCATTCCTCTCGTCTCGCTCGCAGTCGGCGCCGCAGCTGCTTGCACACGCGCGGCCGTCAGTCGCCTCCGCGGTCCCGCTCTCCTTCCTCCCCTACCCGCCACACCCGTCAACCTTCCTCCAGGAGCATCAGCCCCCGAACCATCATCAGCATCAAGACCATCACCACCACTTTGCACAGCATCAACATCAGCGTCAGCATCAACATCAGCAACCGTTCTCACCCACATACGGGCTGCCGCTGGGTCCGTCGGCGCTGCCCATCCAGCTCCCGCCGGAGCTGATCGAGCCGAGCGCCGTGTTCGGTGGCCTCGAGCTCGAGCTCTGCGACTGGACGCTCGACGAGTCGTCGGGCCAAGGCGGCAGCGGGCCGATGGAGATGCCGCGCTCGCCCGATGGCATGTTCATGAGCGACGAGCTCAAGCCGGAGGAGATGGACCCACTACCACCACCACGCAGCGTCGCCCCTGCACACATATTTGGGTCGCACAGCGGCTACCTCGGCGCCCAACTCCACGCTTGACCCTCACATTCCACCCTCTTGTACACAGGTTTTTTCATCAAATGCTTCAGTTGAACGTCTGGTCGGATTGAACAAGGTGGCGTGGTCTCTAACCAACATCGTGACGAAGGGGTGAAGGTGGCAGGATCAGGCCTTGCTGTGGGTTTTCGATAAGTTCGAAATTTCATCGAGGACCAACCAGGAGGACACGGAGAGAGAGGTTGCTGGGTGGACAGTTTCTTTCTTGGATTTCTTGCGTTTGTTCTCTTCTTCGGCTGGCAAGCACGCGCACCCGGATTGACACACAATCTGATTGCCTGTGTTCATTTGATTGCCTGAATTGGTCGGTCATCTGTTCATTCCAAGGACAACCGAGAGACGAGCACCATGGACGAGCACGCCAACCATGACTGCTGGATTGGCCTCACCCCTCGCCCTGAAACTGTCTACCTCCTCTCGTACGTTGCCCTTCTTCTTGTTCCTCCCTGGCAAATCGTGTAGCGCCTGCCGATTGATTGAAAAAAAAATCTGCGACTCTTGTTGGCAAATTTGATAGGCAGCTGGCAGTGTAGGAGATGTTGAACCCAACGTACTGTCCTTAACTGAGTGCCCCTACAGGATGAAGAAGGAAGACGCGGTGCGGTGCAGTACGCCGATCCTTAAGACCCTGCTCTACAGCACCGAGAGCGACGCCCCCACGCAATTCTTCAGCTACACCGGTAACAACACTTGCCACTGGTGGCACATGTTCCCCCCCTTTATATTGGCTTTGTTCTCCTTCTCCTACTTCTTCTTCTTCCTCTTCACCATCCTTTTATCACTTTTTACATCACTGGTGTGTGGTGCTGATGCGTACATACAACTACCCGCAGAGCACGATGGGTGCATTTCGATGATCGTGGACGAGAACATCATGCCGCTCTTTCCCTCTGACGAAACCGTCCAAAGACTGGAGGAACCGTGGCGAGTCATTCAGATTGACATCGGCTCCTCGGGCATCCCCTGTACGTTCGTTGCTGAATTAGACTTTGGTGATGCTCCATGTGACGCCATGGTGGTGGTGCGATTGTAGATGCGCGTGGGCGCTGACTCTCCACCTCCCATACGCGCTCTATTCTCAGCCGAATCTGGTTGCGTGTCGTTGGTGGGGTCGTACCTGTCGCTCAAGGAGATCACCGTCTACTACCTTTCCACAGCGCAGCACGACTTTGTCCTGGTACGCCCTCACTCCATATCGCGTGGCACCAACCTACTCTCTCTCTCTCTCTCTCTCTCGCTCATGTGTGTGCTCTTTACATGTTTTGCGTCGTGTCTGTCCGTCACCAGGTCCCCAAGAAGCACTTTGAAACAGCACTGGATTGGCTGGGCAAGAAGCTGTGCTCCAGCAAACCCAACTCCATCACCCCGCCCCCACGGCCTCCACCGTCCCCCTATGTACACAACCTCGTCACCTTCCCCACACAACTCTTCGCAGCAAGGTGCCCATGACCCTCCTTTTTTCTTTATTTATTATCTATTATCTTATTATCGTTTGCTCGTCTTGAGGAGTTGGACACTCTGCACTCACCTGGCCTCACTCAAATAAATACACGATCGCCTTGGTTCGTTGTGATTGGAATCGTGCAGCAGCGAACGCATCGCCAAGTGCACGCGACCTCTGCTCAAACTCATCTTCTTCGAGAACCCGTACGCTCTTCTCTTGTCTCCAGTGCTGTGTCGTGTGTTGTCATTACTTTGTTAGTACTGATGCCACCTCCTGTGGTGGTTCGCAGTGAGTCTCGATTCTTCTCCTTCACATTCGCGGATGACGAGATCTCGCTCATCGCCGACCAGGAGCATCTCGCCCTCTTCCCCAAGCAAGCCCTCTCCTCCTCCTCGGCGTGGCGGCCCATCAAGCGAGCCAAGAAGGCCGGCTTCTGTACGTGCAGCAGCTTGCGCAGCCGAGGCCTGCCTTTCCGCGCGTGCTGCCGAGCTCTGTGCACTGACGACCGCGTGTGTGTGCTCTGTCATGACGACAGTCGAGACCGGCGTGGTGAGCTACATCTCCGCGCCCATGGCGCAAGCGGGCGTGCCTGTACTCTACGTGTCGACCTATCTCACCTCCTTCATCCTCGTACGCTCCACTTTCATCTTCAACACATGACACCACCTTGTTGTTTGTGTGCTGATCGGGTGGTGGTCGCGCGGCAGGTGCCGTCGGACCGGTACGACGAAGCGATCAAGACGTGGAAGAGGCGAGACTTCAAGTTGGTGGACCACTTGGAGGCGCTCACGCTCGACGACGAAGCCGTCGCCTGAGCTCCTCCTCTTCTCACTTTGCCTGAAATTGAAGTTTCGTTCCCTCTTCGTCTTCTTGTTGTGCAGTCTGGCGGGCGAGTGCCTGAAATTTCGTCGGCGCTTGCCGTACATGTTGCGTGTGTCGCCGCACACACGACACACGACACAGCCACGCCTTTGGCCAACTTTGCACTCACCCTCAAGAAGAAGAAGAAGCACACCACCTTGTTGTAGTAAGAAGATGGCGACCAACATACCAGCAGAGGAGTGGAAGGAGTGGGGCAGGCTGGTGGACCAGCTCAACGTGCAGGCGCTGGTCGAGGAGCAGGACACGCGCGTTGTGAACGCCACAGACACCATGATCGACGCCCTGGGCCTGTTCGCCGCCCACGACGTGCTATCGGCGCCCGTCTACGACGCGACGTGCAACGGGTTCGTGGGCCTGATCGACATGCTCGACCTGGTGGCCTTCCTGTGCCGCTTCTCGGGCTCCCTGGGCGGCACCAAGCGCCTCGAGCGCGAGCAGCTCAACCTCGACGCCCTCAAGCACCAGCTCGCCTCCCTCAACGAAGACCAGCGCGCCCAGATACGCGCCACCCCGGTCACTGCCCTCATCGGCCTCTCAGGTCCCCCCCCCTTCTACTCCACTACGTCTTGTTGATGCAGCAGTTGAGGAGTGGGCATCAAATAATGTGGTGGCGCAACACTGCATCGAGTAGAGCGTACGACGTGGGCGCCAGTGTCGGTCAAGACCCCAGGCCAGACGCTGGTGAAGCTGCTGACGGACCCCAACACCCACCGCATTCCCATCACCGCCGAGGAGGGCGACCAGGTGCGTGCTTGGGTCCTGTAAGCCCTCCCCTTCGTATTGTGGCGTTTGCTAACCCTTCACTGCACCAGTTCCTGGGCATCTTGTCGCAGCTCGACCTGGCCAAGTGGTTGCATCAGCACAGGGAGAGCGTTCCCAAGGTTCCTCAGTACTTGCTTGCTTCGATGAAGGCTAAGGTGGGCGCTCACACAGTGACTGTGCCTGCTGGCAGTCGTTGCGTGGTCTGGTCGTGAGGGACTTTGCGTCGCCGGGAGCCAAGAAGGAGATGGTCACGGTGCCCTCCCACGCCACCATGATCGAGGCCCTGCTCAAGATCGACGAGCACAAGGTCTCGGCCCTCCCCGTCGTCGACGTGCAAGGTGCTCTCCCTACCCTCATCTGCCACCACTCCAAGATCAGTCCAGAGCTCACACACTCGCCCGGGCGCACTGGGCATGTCCAGGCTATCTGAAGGGCACCATCAGCGCGAGCGACATCAAGAAGCTGAAGCTGGAGCCCTCGGATCAGCCGGAGGAGATGCTCCAGAAGATGTTCGTCCCGGTGTCCTACTGCCTCACCGGCTCGCCCCTCACCTGTACCATGGACCACTCCCTCGAAGACGTACTCGGCGCCATGACCGCCAACAAGTACGTCTCAACGCCACCACGTGCTACACCACCATGTCCGTTGGTTGATGAGGGTGATGACGAGGATGACGAAGCTATAGTGACTGACGGAGCGCTAACGCACCGCAGGGTGCACCGCGTGTGGACGGTGGACAGCAACAACAAGCCGGTGGGGGTGGTGAGCCTGTGCGACGTGTTGGCGCAGTTCGTGCCGCCCACGCCCGAGTCGTACCTGACCTAACTAACTCTTTAAAATGCAGCCACAAGGCCCAACCTCCCCTGCAGTGTCCCGTGAAGCAACCGCCGACCAGTACCGGTTGTAGCAACAACACTTCATTTTCTCTTTCATTTCTCTGTGGGAACGGGCGGTCCCATTGGCGGACGTGGCCGCAACAACGACCAAAAACCACCAACCACAACTCGAGCTTGTTGGCCCACAGACGCGTCGAGAAGGTCAAACTAAACTGGCAGGCAACTGTCTGTTTGTTTCTTCTTCCCCTTGCGCGCTAGCTTCTTTCGTTGTTGCCGCCTCTTCTTTCCACACAATCAATAGTGATGGGGTTCGTTAACGTCAAGTTTCTGTGTCTGCTGGGCCTCGTGGCCTTGATCTTCATCCTCGAGCTTGCCGCCGCTCCCAGCCCCTGGTACGCTTCTCTCTCTTTCCCTTTCGCCCCTCGCCCTAGGCCTAAATCTGTCTTATCTCCCCTTTCCCCCTCATTGTAGAATAATATTGAGGAAAATATGATCCAATATATCAATATAACAATTACTTTAATAATTGTATTAATTATAAGACTAATTATCTATTCTCTCATTGATACCAATCATTGAGAGGGTCCCACGTCCTGTGCAACACGCAGTGCGCCCCTTCAAAAAAGAGGCCGAAAAAACAATAATTATTATCAGAATATTATACCCAATCAATAATTTCATTTTTTTCCCCTTTTTTCGTACGCCAGGTACGAGTACAAGGCCGTGGTGACGATTACCGAGTACCTGTCGCACGTCGAGTCCACCCTGGTGGGCAAGTTCAGCTGCGACTGGACCGACGACAAGTGCGGCGGCGATAAGCTGAGGGCCATGTGGGGCATGATCCTGACGGCTGTCATCATCTCCATCCTCCTCACCGCCGTTGAGACCCTCATCCTCTTCACCTGGGCCTTTGACTTCTGCCACGTGCGTCTCTTCACACCCCCCACCTAAGCCACACGCCCCACCGCACACGCACCACCGCACACGCACACGCACCAGCTTGCATGTGGTGCGGGCTCAGACCTGAGGCGAATGTGAATGTGAGCAGAAGCTGAAGTTCAGGAGCAAGCTGAGGATTCCGTTGATCGTGATCGCCTTCCTGGCGTCGTTCTTCGCCTTCGCCGCGTGGCTGCTCCTCTTTTGGCACCCGTCGGCGCTCGAGGACAGCATCAACATCAAGTACGACTTTGTGGGCGACAACTCGGGTCCGCAGGCCGGTTGGGGCCTCTTCGTGGGCGCCAGCATCCTCTCCCTCATCGCCGCCATCATCCTCTGCATGAGCGGCTCGCCCGACCACCACGGCTACAAGCTCTTCCACTGATGATGATGATGGTGAGCAACCATGTGGTCTTGTCCCCAGTTATCTTCAACAAATGAATGGTGTGTATGGAACATTTATTCGAATATCTATTTTATATATTTGCATACATAAATATTCCACATAATAATGATATCTTTTTGTATTTTCTTTAGGAATACGGTTTAACCCAAATTTTAATGGAGGCAGTGAAGGCCACAGGTGGGAGAGGAGGGGTGGCCCAGGGCGAGGAGGGGGACGTGATGGAGGTGGTGGTGACGGACGAGGAGGTGGACCTGCCGGCCGAGGTGTGGGCGCACGTGGCGTCGTTCCTGCCGGTGAGGGAGCTGGCTGGCGGTGGGCTGCCGCTGTCGTGCCGTCGACTCCACGACCTGTGCAGCCTGGACACCCTCTGGCAGAGCGCCTTTCGCCACAATGGCCCCCCCGCTTGGGGCGCACCTCCTCAGCTTCCTCACCACGTACTCCCCTCTTCAGCGAAATAATAATTTTTTATTTCTATTTTCCATTTTTTTGTTTCAAAAAAAAAGAAAAAAGAAATAAGAAATATAATTAATACTACTTTTTGTAAAATGCAAAGAGGGGAAGGGGTGGAAGCAGAGGTTTGGCGAGCGGGTGCGCCTGGCACGTCCCTGGAAAGAGGTAGGACCTCCACCAACTCCCGCCTGCAACCACCTGACGATCATCATCGGTCTGCTGCTGTTGTTGACCCGCGAGCTCTCCTACGACGACAGGGCCGGTACCGGAGTCACTTGACAAAGGTGGACATGTCCGTCGAGCGATTGCAGCTGGTCGACAACAAGGTACGCCCCCTTGAAGGCGCTCATACTTCACCCACTTTTCGTCCGCCCACATCGCGATGTGTGTGTGTGGTGTGTGTGAATGTATGGTATGCATGCAGGTGTTCTGTAGCAGCAACAAAGCCTCAATCGACTGCTACGATTGGTCCACATCCGAGTTGAAGGTGCGCTGTGGCTACTCCCAGTCTACACGACGACTGCACAGTAAGTGTAGGTGGTGATGATGGCGCTCACTCCTGTGCGTGTGTGTGTCATAGCTTAAGTACACGGCCGGTGACGCGAAGTCGAATCGCTCGTTCCTGGGCTTCCACTACAACCCGCACACCGACCTCCTCGTCACCGGAGACCACTCCTCGCCGGCCCTCCTCGCCTTGGACGGGACCACCGGCGAGATCAAGGTGCGTGTGCTTTGGTGCGTGTGCGTGTGCGTGTGCGTGTGCGTGCGGTGACTCTGACACTTGATCACGCTCCCGTTGGGTCCTGCTCCGTAGGCCGAGCAGACGGCGCACCGGCACGCGCACATGTGGACCGCGCAGTCCGATGACGAGAAGGCCGTGCTGGGCATATACGACACCATACAGAGTACGCCAGTCCTGCAATGTCACGTGTCGTCGTGTGCGTGTGTGCGTGCGTGTGCTGGGCGTGTGTGCTCAAGCCAACCACCCTACAGTCTGGGACCTGCAGGCGAACAAGTTGTTGCTCTCGACCGAAGGCGCACACAAACACAATGACCAGATACGCAGCCTATTGTTCCTGGGGAACACCCTGCTGACCGGTACCTGCGTGCGTGTGCGTGTGCGTGTGCGTGTGCGTGTGTGCGTGTGCGTGTGCGTGTGCGGAGTTGACCATCTGATGGCGCCGGTGGTGTGGGGCTGAGCCGCAGGAGGAGCGCTGGGCGACAACACGGTCAAGGTGTGGGACCTGCGCCGCCCGGTGAAGCCCGTGGAAGAGGCCGAGATCGACAACGGCGTCTGGTGCATGGACTTCGACGGCGAGAAGCTCGCTGCGGGCACCTTCAACGACATCCACCGTTCGTTCCACCTTACACACTACATTCCTCCGCCTCCACACATGTTGCGTGTGGAATGTACTGATATATTGGTGGTGCCTGATTATAGTGTGGGATCTCCGGCACCTCCTGCAATCCCTGGCCACGGTGCGCGCGCACGAGGGGCACATCAACATGGTACGATCAATCTATCGGTGAATGGAAATGTATAGAGGGAGGGCGGAATGCGGGAGGCGGAGGCGGGAGGCGGGAGGCGGCAGGCGGGAGGCGGAGGCGGAGGGCGGAATGCGGAGGTGGATTCGGGAGGCGGAGGTGGAAGGGCGGAATGAGGAGGTGGAGGCGGGAGGCGGGAGGCGGGAGGCGGGAGGCGGAGGGCGGAGGGCGGAGG